GCTCCTGGTTTCGAACGATTTACTTAGCCCACCGTAAACCCTCACTCACCTCGCACTTTAAACGTGTACAACACATATCGAATGGTCCAACAACACTTGATAATTTATCAGATGCGCTTTGCGCACCCTCCATACATTTAAACAGACAGATAATGTCATCGGGGTACACTAAATCATACAGCTTTTCTCTAGTTGTCTATTTACTACCAACAATTTGGAGACCACTTAGTGCGTTCCCCCGTATTTCGTCTATGACGAAAATTAACAGGAATGTCGAGATAGGGCAGCCTTCATGAAGACCACTGCTAGTTAGGAACGACCTACTCAGCTCGCCGTAGACCATTATGCTATCAGAAGCATGCAAGTAGCGTGACCGCAGTGTGTTCACCAACTTCTGCGGCATTCCTTCACGAAGGAGCAAACCCAAGAGGTCAACTGAGTCGAAGTCAAGAAACAAGACAACCGTTGGTCGACGATGTGTATGGAGTAGCTCGAATACTTGATCAATACAACCGCCACCTGGTCGAAATCTTGCTTGTTGTTCGCGGATGTGTCTCTCTAAACGGTGTCAGACGTCGAAGTATGACGGAGGCTAATACCTTGGTGACGATTGGGATCAAACTTATTCCATGGTAGTTTGCGCAGTCGTTCCGAGATCCTTTCAGAAAAATTGGAACGATCAATGATTTACTCCAGGATGATGGAATGCACTCTTGTGACCAGATGATGCGCATTAAATCAATAATGGAATCTACGAGGTTTTCGCACCTCCATCTTGAAAAGAATGGGAGGAAGCCCATCGGGTTCTGTTTTTCCTTTCTTCAGGGCCTGGATGCAAGATAGTACTTCTGCTTCAGCAGTAGGTTCACATGACATTGTCGAGCCTCAACTACATCAGATAGATAGATAGATAGTCTAGTTAGCGCATGGGCAACTACACTATTTATTGAAGTACTCTGCCCACCGGTCAAGCCGTTGTTACCTATTGTGAGTAGCGTGTCCAATTCTGGCGCAGACCGTTTCACTGTGGTTCGCCGACCTCCCGCGTTGCGCAGCAGTCGGAACAGTCTTTGACCATTCCCTGATGCACCTGCTACTTCCGTTTCATCAGCTATTAGTGCCCACCAATTTTCAA